TTTTWWYMAWYCMWYCATCAAATCCCACATCATCTTGCTCAAACAGTTATGATGCCTACAACTGTTAAAATCATTAGAATGAAATCATTCTCGTGAAAAGTATCTCTTGACCTTTCCTTCCCCATTCATTAAGCAGATCCTATCAAGTCTTTGTCGATCTCGTATTTTACATACGTCATCGTTGAGTTGCTCGACAGGAAGTTCATTTACTTGTTTGCTTTGATAGAGGAGACGAATTACCTCGCTGCTGTTTCGTGGCATACTTACATTTTGGCGGTGCAGACGACTGACTCGTTAACTAATAATAATATTTACACTTTTCTTAGCCTAGCAAACGTTCCACAGTCTATATATATTTGCTATATGTTTGCACCAACTTTTTTTTTAATTTACACTGAGCAAATATGGTGAAAATACATTTTTTCGTGCAGTGTTTTGTACTTAAAAAAACAAAAAACAAAAAACAAAAAAAAAACAAAAATGTTTGACATGTCGGCTACGCTTCTATTTGTTTACTGGCAGCGTTTTGCTTTTCAAACTATAAGGAAAATTATTAGAATCCTCTGCCGGGGTTATCTATGTAGGCGAAAGTTCAAAGAAGCGTATCATCGGACCTCATAAGGGCGAGTTAAAGTGAAAGCTGAAAATTCCAGTTACGGTTCAAGTCCTTAATCGCTCGCCTTGGCATTTTACCATAAGGATTCGTTTTCTCGACGAAATTGTATCTCAATCTTATCAGACTGATTGAATTAAATCAACACAGTAAAGGGAATAACTGTTAAAATGGATTCTTGAGTTTCTGAATGAATCACGAATGGCGAAGATTGGTTCAAGAAATATAAGTTGCATTCCACTGTGACTGTCAATGAACAGGAAGCGAACAAAATGCACAGGATCGGAGTATTGATTGGTTTGGAAAAAAGTTAAGTTTATCTGGAAGAAGCCCAGTTTCACCTTTGCATTGTAAATCTATCTGCATATTGAGAGCTAGGGCTTCAATCCACATAGTTTGAAAGGCCTATTTGACCAGTGCACAATCTTACTGCAAGGACTGAAGTGACAGCTGAAGCATTCGTTCTTAAATTCTGAGACCATTCAAAACTCGAATCAGTACTTAAACGCGTATTTACCATCTGTCACCTCTACTTAAACGCTCTATTCTTTGTTTTGCTACTGCTCTGACTATTAGTTATTTTCTGTAACTTTTTTTTGATATTCAATTGTATTTCGAAGTGAACCCTCTCGATGAGTATTTTTACTCTTAGGGTAAACTTTGTCCAATTTATATGTTTAAATTAAAAAAAAAAAAAAAATTCGAATCAGGTAAATATTATCTTGCTAATTTTTAGGGAAGCCATTTTTATTAATTGTCTATAGCTATTGATTTAGCTTTCCATTGACTCGACATTGAGTTGCCATTTCCATCATCCCAAACCAAAACAAAAAGGAATTTAAAAATGAAACGCATTAGCTCACTTTTAGATAATCTTTTCAATTAACCGATTGACCAAGCCGTTCGAGTTTGGAAATCAAATTTCACAGAACACTGGATAGAAGAGAAAGTTATGGGCTACCACGAGCTTGGAATGTGTCAGATAAACTGATCGTTCTTTATACTAAAATACCATTGAAAAACGTTCCGCAACGTTCAGAGTTCGACTTCTGTCCCATCCGAGTAATGATGTATACTAGGGTTTTCGAGCGTTCTTGCTGTTTGCAAAATTACTGATTGTAGCGTGCAAACCCTATGGGGTAAGAGTTAGTACGACTCTAACCCACTCAGAATTGGAGAGCTGTAGCATTAAGTGACAAATGTCTGACAGAAAGTCCTACATTTGAAAAAGTTTATATTATAGTTTATAAGATCTAAGCCCGTAAGTCTCTCGTGATAAACTGCAAATTGTCTATCAAGCAGTCAAATTTTACAGACCTGTTCCTTGCGAGTATTGGATTGTAATTCCTTTGGTGTAATTCTTTGGATGCACGCACCCGGTTGAAAAAAAATAGTTTATTGACGACGACCTCAATGGTAAGTTCTTATATAAGCTGCGAGGACTCTACCTACCGCTGATTGTGTGTGCATAGTTTTATGGAACATGTCATGATAGTCAAGTCCTTCCCTTATCGCCAGAGACAGCACTAATGGTCTTAATTCTATCGACAATGGCCGTCACGGGGTTCCCGTTCAAAACTACTTGTTTTCTTAACTATTCTTCGGTAAGTCATATCCAGCGAGGCCATAAGTACTGTAAAATATGTATGAATTTTCTATTCGACAACATAAGTAAAGTAAAGGAAACTGAATTTCTGTTGTAACAGGCATTCCACCTCCGTGGCAGGAAATGACGAAATTTTTAATTGGATAAAACAATTTCCTAAGAAAATATGAAGTTCCTAATTGGATAACAAGAAATTGTTTGGGCTGACCTTTGTTTGAATACATCAAGCATGAGAACTGCGTATAGCTTTTGCATATAGCGTAGAAACAAAAATTGGGATAAATTTCGTTATCAATCATAGGATATATTAATGTTATATATAATTATCTGAAATGATAAAATAAGGCGTACTTTCGTGTTGTCTTAAGAGCCAATATACAAGATTACTTAATAAAGATAATTCCTTCCGTTAAATATTTCCAACTGTTCAATATCTTAGTGTTGCCATTGCAAAATACCTCACTGGCCTACAAAATATTGATTTCCTTTCGCCAGTTGCATGAATAGCTATAATATTGCTATGTAAATATGTTCTTTCTAATGTAGTTCGTTATTGCATGACAAGGGGCGATTAACAGTCTTAAAAATTATTGTTGAATCAAAAAAATTCGACAACATAATTCGACAATTCGACAAAAAAATTCGACAGCATTTGCTATCATTCATCTACAGATTACAAACTCTTTACTATAGACGACAAACATCGGCCTGTTTTCAGGAGCGATTTTCCAGGTAACTGAAACTATGCAAGTTAGGAAAGTTCAATACAAATTAAATTAAGTTCACGCCAACTGAACCAGTCTGGAATTTATATCACGTATTGAGAGAGAGGATCTAGCCATAGGGAAAGTAATCTGATTAGGTTGCCACATCGGAAACAGAACAGGTGGTCCTTTTCATCACTCTTGGAAAAAGAAGACGGAGAATTACGCGTTTCACAATCTTGGGAGCTTTTCTTCGTAAAGTTATTCCCCGAGGGGCCATTTCAAGAAATTTTACTTTCTTTCAAGCATGGAAATGCAAAGTATTATGAGGCTATAACAAACACCTTAGGCATATCCTGCCATATAGCTGTAAACTGATTTTGCTCCTCTCAAATTACTCTGATGAACTACTGATTAATCAAATGTAATTTTATGTGGCCAAGTTAAAACACAGCTACGGATTGTTTAGCTCATACAATTAAAACAAATGATGTACAACTAAGCTACTTGAACAGCTTGTCTTCACCCTCCTACCATTAAGCAGATGCCATAAGCTCTTTGAGGATCTCTTTATTGATTCTAGAGAGTTCTCGTCCGTTTAGATGTTTGAAAAGAACCTTTAATACCTGCCAGTTGGTTATTAGCTTTGATAAGGCAAGAGCACTAATCTTGTGAATACACGTAGGTAATGGCATACTCAAATTAAAATGCACTGAACTGCAACAGAGCCATACAATCACGCCATCAATCAATCAGTCAATCAATCGATCCATCCATCGATCAACAAGGTCAGCGTATTTGAGGTACTCCTTCACTCAACTGTTAAACAACAGGAAGGAGTCTAAATAGCGGGTTTTATCTGCGACTAAGATAGTTCGCGAAGATTGGAATAAGAGAGATAAGTAAATCATACGTGTCATGTGTTTTAATGACTAATGACAGCTATACCTCAGTACATGATGCAGCACCGTATAGAAAGGATACCTCAGTTCATTTCACATTGTAGTAGTCATTACAATGTATTTAAAACAAGAACAGAACTGGGGTCACGCAAGTAATATTTAATAACTATGGACGCTGACACAATATTTTATGAAAAGTTCTTCAGTTGAAAAAGTCATCATTGGGATCAATGCTCAGTGTTTCCGTAAGTTTGTACATATTCTGCTAAATGATTTCAAAACAGCTAAGACTCCCATACCTACTACTTAATGATTGCCGAGTATTGTCCGTAGCTAGTGTTTTCTGAAAACGCTTAAGGAATTAATCTTGTTTTTTTTGGTTTTTTTTTCTGAGGAGAGTACCAACAAAAAAATAAGAAGAAATTAATATAAATGCTATGGAGAGATTCTTTTGGTACGGTTTTACCAAAGCTAATAGGATTCTACTAGGTGCTGGGTGCGTTCGATCAATTATCGAATTATCTTTTAAACCGCCTCCATTGCTCTCAGCATAAGAAGCGACTAAAGTACATATGATGCAGTTTTGTGTATCCGAGAATAAATATCTGCGATAAAAAAAAAAAAATAATAAAAAAAAAAAAACATTAAACAAACCCCCTTTGGTGACAATTCGTGGAACGTAAGAAATTTTTAAGGAGCTTAACGTTTTGACATTACCGAGAATGTCCTAAACGAAAGACATAATCATAATGATAATTTACTAGATGCTCAATGTCTTAACCAGTTGTTGGTCAGACATGTCCAGACTGTGGCCTAGGGCAGTTTAACAAATGGATGGTAAGCACCACAGCGTACACTACTGAGCTATGGATGCACGTGGGAGGTTGCTAAGCGCAAAAGGAGCTTAAGAGTCGCGCGAGGCGATAGCCGAGAGTGATTCTCGCTTCTTGAGTGCTTAGCAAACCTCCCGCGTACATACATAACTCAGTAGTGTACGCTGTGGTGTTTACCATTTGTTTTATAAGATAACATTGATACATCGTAGCAAAATAGTTGCCTTTTATTTAACAAATCTTAAGTGACCAGAGAAAAACAAGCGCGCGCGGCAAAATAGTCTTTGCATTTGCTCACGTCAGCAGCGTACACCCACGGGCAAATGGAGGACGCTGAATTGATCAATCAGAGCGCGCGCTTTGCTTTGGTTATGTTATAATGCGTTTTGACTAACAGATTCTGCGCTTTTTCTGTTAATGATTGATCTTTCCCCTCTCCGACTTAGGCAGGGAAAGCTAAAGTTATAAACAGAAACTCCGCCTTTGTTTTAGTGAAAGACGACATTATGAACAGGATAACAACAGATTCAAAGGGCCGACCTATAATTTATTTTAATAGGTGCAAGTTCATGAGAACTTCGTGTACTGTAAGAATTTTAGATTTGTTATCGATTATGATTTTAATTAGTTTTTAATAGGTAATTGTTCCCTTCGAGTGCATAGGTTCGCAGGCTTTAATATTTTCTTCTATTTCTAGTTACTTTTAACATAATTTTTACCCTAAGATATTGTGAAGTGCGACTGAATATATCCACATAGTGGTCTGCGCTATATAAATGTAAATTATTATTATTATTATCATTATTATTGTTATTATTATTATTAAGCATAAATAAACATTGATAAATAAATGTAAGGGTAAATGAATGGAGATGTGCGTATATGAAGGAAAATGAATATATACTTTACATAAATATGTAAATCATATACCAGGACTCTTAGTGTGTATGTGCCAGAGATCTTTCGATCTCGTTTGAAAGCATCAGTACCGCATAATTATAACAAGGAGTTGGTTGGAAGACATAGACTTTGTCATATTATATTTATCGCGTTCAATGGATATGATATGGTGAAATATGGGCACCTGCATAACGATGAATAATTTGTATTTGTCGCAAACGTCTCTGTCTTGATTATCTGCCAGAAATGTATTAATTTAAGTCAGAACCCGGGGACGATAAATTCCCCCTCTTACATTAATGTGGCGATAAGTTTTCGATCGGGAAAGTGAATCTTTACTCCGTTGGGCGATTAATCGTAAATTACTCGACTGAACCAATCATGTGGGGAAACTATAATTATTCGGACCACTTGCTTGGCCTAACAGAAAGGCAGAGATTTGTCACCCATATACTTATACCGGCGATCTGATCATGAGGTAGCAGGAGTTTGAACGAACCAAGAGAAAATTCGCAGCACTTGCTTTCAGTCGTTGTCAATGCTCTACAATATAATCCCGAATGTAAGTTGTTATGCCGCAAAATGTAATAATCGCCCCAAAATGTAATACTGACGCAAAATGTAATGACATCGACGCAAAATGTAATTAATAACTTAAAGCAAAATGTAACAACTTTTCAAAGCGTACTGTAGTAACGTTTCGAACGCATTACTTACTAACGCAAAATTTAATAGCTCCTGAATGACCTGTGTCACCTTAGCTTCGTTGTGATACTCAACTTAGATTACGTCTATCAAATGAAATATTTGAAGGTTTTCTGGTTAGCTCTAAAGGCAGGTTTCCCTCGCTTGTGAATCAGGCGTCTTTCAACTCGGTTACTATGAGGACTCTTGCTCTCTCTTTTTAAGAGAATAACACGCAAATTTCATCCTGCTCACATCATTTTTGTAATACGTATGCTGTTAAGGTGTGAAGATATAAATTGTTACTGTTTACGACGCCTATTCTGCCGTATTCTGTAATAATGACGCATTTTACTGACCCCTGCGATACTAGTGCAGCGCTCTACCAATTGAGCTAACAAGCCAACTGGGAGCAGGCCTCAATATATGAACTGGGAGGAGGCCTCAATATATGAACTGGAAGCAGGCCTCAATATATGAACTTCATATATTCATTGTAAATGACGCATTTTGTAATAAGTTACGCATTTTGTAATAATGATTTCGGCATTTTGTAATAATGTGCGCATTGCGTGATAACGTGTGAAGCATTTTGTAATAAATCCAACCTACGCATTTTGTAATAAGGGCTGAAGCATTTTGTACTATTTGTAATATTTGTAAGACTACGCAAATTGTGACGCAAATTGTAATGAGGTCTTTCCAATGATGTAATGTGGTAACCGACATCGCTGACCTTTATGGTTGATTGTTAATAAGTATCATAGTT